CCTTCTGGTTACTGTGGGCTTTTCTTGTTGCTCTCTTTCTAATTCTTTAAGTTGCAAGGTTAGACAATTTATTACCATTTTTTTTCTTGTCTTTTGGAGGTAGGCCTGTAGGGCTATGAACTTCCCTCTCAGGACTGCTTTCATTGTGTTCCATAGATTTTGGATTGTTGTGTTTTCACTGTCATTTGTTTCCAGGATGCTTTTTATTCTTTGATCTATTTGGTACCCCAATCATTGTTCAGTTGAATGCTATTTAGCCTCCAAGTGTTTGGTTTTGTTTTTTTTTATTGTAGTTGACTTCTAGTTATATGCCATTGTGATATGAGAAGATGCTTATTATGATTTCTATCTCCTTGAATTTAAGAGACTTTGCCTGTGTCCTATTATGTGGTCTATCTGAAAATGTCCAGTGTGCACTTGAGAAGAATGTATATTCTGTAGCTTTGGGGTGAAATGTTCTGAAGATGTTAATTAAGTCCTTCTGATCTAGTGAGTTGTTTAGGATGGCTGTTTCTTTGGTGATTTTTTGGTTTAGAGAATTTATCCAGTTTTGTCAATGAGATATTAAAGTCCCCTACTATGATTGTATTGCTGTTGATCTCTCCCTTGACATCTTACAAAGTTGTTTTATGTGTTTGGTTGATCCTGTATTGGGTGGCTATATGTTTAGCAGAATTATATCCTCTTGTTGAATTGCTCCCTTCAGTATTATGAAGTGGCCCTCCTCATCTCTTGTTATGGCGTTTACTTGAAAGTCTATTTTGTCAGATATAAGTATTGCTACCCCAGCTTTTTTCTCATTTCCATTTGCCTGAAAATTTTTTTTCCATCACTTCCCTATCAATCTGTGTGAATCCTTTGTTCTGAGGTGGGTCTCTTGCAGACAATGAATATATGGGTCATGTTTTCTTATCCATTTAGCTACCCTATGTTTTTTGATTGGAGCATTTAATCCATTTACATTTAATGTAATTGATAAGTACTTATTTGTAGCCATTTTTATTCTTTATGCTTGTGTTCCTTCTTGCCTTTTTATTTCTTCTTTTTACAGCAGTCCCTTTAGCATTTCTTGTATTGCTGGCTTGGTGGTAATAAACTCTCTTAGCCCTTTATTTTCTGTGAAGCTGCTGATTCCACCTTCAAGTTTGAATGATAGCCTTGCTGGGCATAGTATTTTTGGATTCAGTCCGTTGCTTTGCATCATTTTGTATATTTAATTTCATTCCCTTCTTTCCTCGTGTGTTTCTGTTGAGAAATTAGTTGATATTCTCATGGGAGATCCCTTGCAGGTAGCTTTCTGTCTCTCTCTGGCAGCCTTTAAGTTTCTTTCTCATTGATGTTTGCCAATTTAATTACGATGTGGCTTGACAGTTTTTTGGGTTCATCTTGTTTGGAACTCTATTTGCTTGTTGGGGTTGTGTGGGTTTTTTTTCTTGGCAACATCAGGGAAGTTTTTTGTCATTATTTTTTCTTACAGGTTTTCTATTTTTTCCTCTGCTTCCTCTCCTTCTGTTACCCCTATTATGCGAATGTTGTTTCATTTTGTGTTTTCCCAAAGCTCTCTTATGCTCTTCTTTTGCTTTTTAAGTTTTCTTTGCAGTTGCTGATGTTTTTGTGTGTTTTTTCCTACCTTGTCTTCTAATTCACTAATGTGGTCCTCAGCCTCTTCTAGTCTACTGTATAAGACTTTCATTTTGTTCTTTATTGCAACTAGGTCATTCTTCATTTCCTCTTGGGTCCTTTTCATATTGGTGACATTCTCATTCAGCTCCTTATAATTCTTATTGAGCTGTATTTGTCATCCAGCCATTAGAGCATCCTTATAACCGTTACACTGAATTCTTTCTGTGACATGTTACTTGCCTCCATTTCATTTAATTCCCATTCTGGTGATTTCTATTTTTCTTTTCTTTTGGGATTTTTTTGTCTCCCCATTTTTTGCTGTAACGTTTTAGTTGTTACTATGTCTTAGATCCAACTGCTTTGCTACCCAGGTTCTTTTGGGGGTGTTGCTATGTAGTTGGTGATTTTTGGGACTCAGTGGTGCAGTCTCTCATGTCTCCTGGATATGGTGATCTAGCGGAGCCCCCTACTTGAGTTATTTGGGTTCTCTTGATATATTTGGGTTTTGAATGTTAGTTTGTTATTCGTGGATGAAGTCTCTTCACGGATTGGCAATGTGATTCACCCCTGGCTTCATTGTGTCTGCTGTTTTGGATGTGATTGTGGTTCTGGCTCTTGTGAAAATGGTTGCCTTATGTCTCACTGGTATGTGCTCACTTTGTGTTTCCAGAGTTCATGGCCTGGGAGTAAGGAGTCTCGGGGCCTGCGACTCAGGTACTGTGACCTTTGGCAGGTGTTGTTTGATTCTTGCTGGATTAGTGTCATTCTGAAACTTACTACGAGGGTCCCAGAGACTGTGACAGTGGTACTCTGGCCAAAATGATTTCCCTCTCTGAATCACGAGGGGGTTCAGGAGCCAACAGCTGTGGATGTGGGAATCTCGGAGTCTGTGGCTGAAACAATGTGGCCTTGTCCAGGGAAGCGAGCCCTCAGTAACTCACCAAGGTGTCCAGAGGTAGGCAGTCGGGATGGGGATGTTGTGGATCCTACTGAGGGAGCTGCACACCCTTGGTTGGAGAGACACACACCCAGTGGCAGCTCACTGAGGGGACCAGGAGTCGTCTGCCAGGGATGTGTGCTTGTGGTGCCCACACGCTGGATTGGAGTGATTGTGGTGTGCCACCGGCCTTGTGGAGGGAGAAATCCCAGTTTCTGCTTCGGAAGGTGTACTCCTTGATTGGATACTCATGACCAGTGGCTGCTTACTGAGGTTCCCAAGAGCTGTCTGCTTGGGCAGTGGGCTCAGGGGGCCCATGTGCTGGATTGGCACTACTGTATGGATGCTGGCAGCAGGGTTTGTGCCTTTCGGTGGCTCAGAGAGGCATCTGGGGGCTGCCTGCTGGGGCTGTGGGCTCAGGGTGCTTGCGCACTGGATCGGTGCGACTGCAGTGACCGGAGGTTGGAAGTTGAGGAGGGGGAAGTCTGAGTTTCTGCTGCCTGGGCCTTGTGCCCTTGGTTGAATATGAGTATGCCTAGTGGCAGCTCACAGAGGCACCCAGGAGTCGCCTGCTGGGGCGGTGGACTCAGGGGGCCCATGTGCTAAAATGGGGCAACCATGGGGCAGACAGCCGGGAAGAGGGAAGTCTGAATTTCTACTGCTGTGGCCGTGCACTCTTGTTTGGATATGAGCGCTCCCATCTGGGGCTCAAGGAGGCACCCAGGAGCCGCCTGCATGCTGGAGAGGTGCAACTGTGGTGTTTAGAGGTCAGCAGCTGGGGAGGGAGATGTCTCAATTTTTGGTGCCTTGCGGCCTTGGTTGGATTCACGCGTGCCCAACGGGGCCTCACAGAGGCACCTGGGAGCCGCCTGTCAGGGTGGTGAGGCTCAGGAGGCCTGTGTGCTAGAAAGGCATGACTGTGGTGTCCGGTGGTTGGCAGCTGTAGATGGGGAAGACTCAGTTTTTGCTGCTGGGGCCTTGCACCCTTGATTGGATTCACACGCGCCCGGCAGCGGCTCACAGAGTCACCCGGGGGCCGTTTGCCAGGGTGGTACACGCAGAGGGGCCCTCATGCTGAAACCATGTGACCTTGGTGTCTGTGGGAAGGCCGCCAGGAAGTGGAAAGTCCGAATTTCTACTGACAGGGCCCTTTGTCCTTATTTTGGATATGAGCACACCCAGTGGGGGCTTACAGTGGCACCCAAGAGCCATCTTTGGGGCCGTGGGCTCAGGAGGCCTGTGCGCTAGAAAGGCGTGACTGTGGTATCTGGTGGTTGGCAGCTGTGGATGGGGAAGACTCAGTTTTTGCTGTCGGGGGCTTTGTACCCTTGGTTGGATTTGCGCATGCCCAGCGTTGGCCTACAGAGGCCCCCGGGGGCCGTTTGCCAGGGCGGTGCATGCAGAGGGGCCCTCATGCTGAAGCCATGTGACCTTGGTGTCTGTGGGCAGGCAGCCAGGAAGGGGGAAGTCTGAATTTCTACTGCTGGGGCCTTGCTTCTTTGTTTGGATATGAGCATGCCCACCGGAGGCTCATAGAGGCACCCTAGAACAGCCTGTGGGGTGGTTGGCTCAGGAGGCCTGCATGCTGGGAAGGCGCAACTGAGGTATCCTGAGGTCAGCATCCAAGAAGAGGGAAGTTGCACTTATTGCTGAGGGACCCATGCACCCTTGGAGGTGAACGTCCTCGGGTCTGCAGGTCTGCGGGTGGGGCAGCAGGATTTTGGCTGGAGTGGCTGCAGGGTCACAGGCAGTGTCCAAGGTCAGTCTGGGTGGTGGTGTTGATGAGTTCCTAGAAGTGGCCGCTCTCATGGCGTGGGCTCTGTGCCTGAGCCCTGTAGCCCGGGGAGTGCCCGCAGTGGCGGTAGGTGTTCCCTGTCCAGGAGAGCCTGGTCTGCCAGCTTCTGATATTTCTGCTGGATTTAACTGTCCCTCACTCACACACACACCACACACATCCACACACTCTCCTTTCATCCCCTCACTCATTCACACCCTCTCCTTCACCCTTGTCCTGCCAGCCGCCATCTTCGCCTCCCCCGCCAGGTATTTCTTCACTTACCATTTTTAAAAGCAACTGAACCGATATTTCATGTTTTGGGTAGATATGTTTTACTTAACTATTCTTATCTTTATGAGGACATTTAGGTTATTTACAGTTGTTTTTTTTCACTGTTTTAAGCAGGGAGGTAGAGAACACCACTTTTTTTTCTTAGCTTCTGATGCTCTGAAAGCAGTTTTAAAGGAAAGTTTACAGTGTCCTGGTGGGTGCCTTCGGACATTGCTGTTGCTTTTCTGTTTACTGTTGGTTGGCAGCGGAATGAGATGCCTTACTTATGTAAAGGAGAGGAAGGACTCTTATTACCTGCTTTTTTTGAGATTGATGCTGGAGGAAAAACTGAGAACAATAGTGTTTGACTAAATCTTTCTTTTTCTTTTTTAGTTCTCAAAGTCATGAATCCTGTTTATAGTCCTAGTTCTTCTGGGGTTCCCTATACAAATGCCAAAGGAATTGGTTATCCAGGTAAGCAAGTACAATTTTGTTTTCATTATTGAACTTTGAATTTGAATGCTGGTGAATTTCCATGTCACTAAGAATGCTTTCAGTTGGCAAACGCAGCTCAAAGTGTCTTAGGTAAGGAAGAAAATGTATTGGCTCATGGAACTGAAAAATCATGGAACTAGAAAATCAGGAGCTCTGGTGACTCCAGTGGTTTGGGACTAGGACCTAGCCCTCCTGGGCTCAGCATTACTTCTTCAGTATTAGCTCAGTGTTGGTCACAGGTCACACTTCTCCCCATTGTGGATAGTCTGTTTAGCCCTTCCCATCAGTCCCTTGGCTAGCAGCATTTTTATCTCTTTCCTGCTCTATAGGAAAGCCCCATGGGCCTTCTTGTTTTCTATTAAAACCAGTCCTGTGCTTTGTTCTGACTGGACTCAGCTAGGGATGGAAGTCTTTGGTTAATTTAAGTCTGAACTACATTTTTCACCCTTATTAGAGTCAACTAGTCAAACATGGGCTGAGAGGGAGGGATGAAGCAAAATTTGGGGGAATAAGAGCTGGTTGGTCAAAAATAGCAAACCAGTACATTTGGCCATTGAGCTGATGTTAGGCCTGTCCTGGGGACATTTTCTCTTTGTGGGTTTAAATAACCCACATGGGTACAGAAAATGAGGCATTAGGCCCTTTGTGAGGCTGGGAGCTCTCATCAATCTGGTTCCTCCAGAGGGTGATACTCCCAGTGAAGAGGTAGACTGAAGCATTCCATTCACTGGCTCAGAAGGAAATTAGTTTTTGCTTGGGCTTTGGAAATGGGGAAAATATTTCCTAAGAATATGTAACATAAAAAAAATAGTTTTTATCCTGCAAAATTTCCTATAGCACCTGGCAGCAGCAAATGCAGAACTCTGTAGAGGCAGTTGTTCTCAATCCAGGTTTTGAGGGTTTCCGTAAACTTCTTTCTGTTAGTGCAAAATTATTGGTGTGCACTCAATCCCCTTTGGAAAGAGTTAGTGCATTTTCCTGTAGTGGCCCCCAATTACCTCCCTTTTCTGAGCCTATCAGCAGACCTGTGCCACTGGCATGTGGGAAATGCTACCAGATGGCAAGTTAGGATTGCAGCTGGGTTGAGGCCCTCCCCTTCTCCTAAACCCTGGCAACTGGAATAACACAGGAATAACACACCGAAGACTTTTGAGGCGTAACTATGTCAATGGCTGCAGCGCCTGGATAGGTAGCTGAGGATTGCCTTTGAGGTTATTTTTCAAGTTTTGAGTTGTACAGTGCTTCATTCTTTCCCTCCATTGTGAAAACACCTCTCCACAATTATTACTTCAGAGTTACCAGTGTTACAGGATTCAACAAATGAAACTATTGCTCATTCTGATGCTGGCAGTGAACTTGAAGAAACAGAAGTCAAAGGAAAAAGAAAATGGGGTTATCCCGGCCAGCTTCCACCTACAAATAAGAAACTTTGAAAATCTCCAGGGAAGAACAGGAGAATTGAAGCTGGAGTTAGAATTGAAGCCATGGAAAAATGGGCACCCTCAGTAGAATGACAAAGGGGAGTCTGTCACATTATTTGAAATAGTGAAATGGGGAAAGTGCAGTGCAGTACTGGTGGATAACTGGATTAAATCATATAAACAAGACAGAGACATTGCACTTCTGAATTTAATCAACTTTTTTTTTAAATCCTTACCTGAGGATATTTTTCCACGAAGAGTGGAAGAGAGAGAAACATAGAGAGAAATATCGATGTGAGAGAAACACATCTATTGGTTGCCTCCTACACATGCCCTGATCAGGGTATGCAACCGATGTACGCGCCCTTGACTGGAATCGAACCCAGGACCCTTTGGTCCTCAGGCCAGTGCTCTATCCACTGAGCCAAAACGGCATCAACTTTTTTACCCAGTGTTTAGAATGTTGCAGTACTGTGAGAATAGACATGTTTTGAAATATGTAGAATGCAGAAATCATCAGAAAAATTACTGAAGAATTTGATGAGGACAGGGGTGATTATCTCCTTACCATGCCTCAACCTCAGTGAAAAAAAATTTGTGAATTTACTGGAGTCATGATTTGACAGTATTAATACAGCATAATTTATGTTGAATATATGATGGACCCAGTAATCTCCCTTTTGACTGGTTTGTCAGACTCCCAGATCAGAGTTTTTAGGCATACAAGCACCCTTGCTGCTGTGAAGCTCATGACTGCTTTGGTGAATGTTGCCTTACACCTCAGAATTTATCAGGATAATACACAGAAACAGTATGAAGCTGAAAGAAATAAAATGATTGGGAAAAGAGCCAATGAAAGGTTAGAGCTACTACTTCAGAAATGCAAAGAGGTATAAGAAAATCAGGATGAAATCGAAAATATGATGAACTCTATTTTTAAGGGTTTATTTGTTCATAGATACTGTGATGCTGTTACTGAAATTAGAGCCATTTGTATTGAAGAAACTGTTGTATGGAAGAAAATGTATAGTGATGCCTTCTTAAATGACAGTTACCTAAAATATGTTGGTTGAATTCTTCATGACAGGCAAGGAGAAGTCAGGTTGAATTTTTGAAAGCTCTGGAGTCTTTATGCCAATAGAGAATTATTCCCCAAATTGGAGCTAGTCATAAGCCAATTCAAGGATTGCATTGTATCAATGACACTTGATAAGGAATATGATGTTGTTGTGGAAGCTATTTGATTGGTTACTCTGGTATTTCATGGAAGTAAATCTCTTTGTGATGAAGACTATGAAAATGTTTACCACTTGATAGACTTAGCAGATTGCCTGTTGCTATGGAGCTGGAGAATCCTTCACAAAAAGGTTTTCAGCAGACATGACCCACAAAGAGAAGAAACATTAGTGAAAAGGAGGGGAAAGAACAGTTCAAACGGGAATCTCATTATGATGCTGTTGTTTTTTTTCTTTCTTGGAAGCTTTCATGTTACTGTGTGATCTTTTGATGATTTTTAGCCACCAGGTAGCAGGAAGGCCCTTCAGCCTTTGGGGTTTAATCCAGATACTGGACTGCACTTTGAGCTCCTCAGTTTTGTAATGGGTCATGTTTTCATTGAACAGGATGAGGAGAACCAGAGCATGGAGGGGATGAAGAAGATGAAGCAAATAAAATCGAGTCCTTACATAAAATAAGGAATCTACTTGTTGTTTCAACAAACATATCATTTATGATATTTTTGACATGCATGCAGCTGCAGACATCTTTAAACACTACATGAAGCATTACAATGAATATGGTGATATTACTAAGGAAACACTAGTAAAACCAGGCAGACTGATAAAATTCAGTATGCCAAGACCCTCATTCTCAATTTACAGCAGTTGTTTAATGAACTTGTTCAAGAGCAAGGTCCCAAGCTACCTAGGACATCTCCCTATGTCAGTGGCATAAAAGAATTGGCATGTCTCTTTGCTCTTGCATTTGGACTGGATCAAATCAAGACACACAAGAATCAGTTGCCACACTTTACAGGAATGGCATAGAATTTGCCTTTAAACACCAAAATCAGAAAGGACAGAATGTCCACCACCTAATCTGGCTTTGCTGGAAGTACTAAGAGAATTTTCTTCTAAATTTTTTCGACAGGAAAAAAGGACTGTTCATTCATACCTAGAAAAAAATCCTTACAGAGCAGATGATGGAAAGGTGAGAAGATGTATGGCTTCTATTAATCTCTTATATTAGTAGAAATGTGTTAGTCATCAGAGGTGAAGATGATAGAATGTCTGTGAACAGTGGAAGTAGCAGCAAAACATCTTCAGTAAGGAGTAAGAAAGGACAATCCCCACATCACAAGAAATAAGTAGAAGATGAAAGTCTGGATAATACGTGGCTAAATAGGACTGACACCATGATTCAGACTCCTGGACCCCTGACAGCACCACAGCTCACTTCCACTGTCCTGCAGGAGAATAGCTGGCCCATGGGAGGGCAGATTCAGAAACCTGAATCTGAACATGTTTCTTTTTCTTTTTTTTTATAAATATATTTTTATTGAGTTTTTACCGAGAGGAAGGGAGAGGGATAGAGAGTTAGAAACATCGACGAGAGAGAAACATCGATCAGCTGCCTCCTGCACACCTCCCACTGGGGATGTGCCCGCAACCAAGGTATATGTCCTTGACCGGAATCGAACCTGGGACCTTTCAGTCCACAGGCCAACGCTCTATCCACTGAGCCAAACCGGTTAGGGCTGAACATGTTTCTGAACCTGACTTTTTACACATCCCAAATGCCGATCTCTTGGTTAAGCAAGCCAAACTTAGAAGACTTAAATCGGAAAGACAGAACAGGAATGAACTACATGAAAGAGAACTGGAGTAAGGCATGCTGTTTGGGCCCTAATGGAAGAAGATGCTGAGCCCATCTTTGAAGATGTGATGATGTCATTCTGGAGCCAATTAGAATGAAAATTTGAAGACACCATGATTATTGATTTCCCCCCATCAAGAAGTCAGTGAAAGAGCTCAGGTGAGGCCAGATATCCTTGATTCTACAGCTGTCATAGAAGATGAATCAGGATTTGGAATGCCTATGTTTTGAAGTCTGAAGAAAATTTACAAGTCTGGAACTCTATTATTTAGAGCTAGAGACCTATGTACTGTGATAGGTGTTATGGGAAAAACATACTTTTGATGTGATGTGATTTGTTTTTTAATCAAGTGATTGAGGTCAGTTCCCTTTTACAGTGACAGAAGAGGAGCATGTAAATTACTCAAGGGACTGTTGGTGAATGTTACCTCAGCAAGACTGACTTCATCATTTGTGTTCTACTATTGGATTTACAGAATTATGGAGGAGCAGAAAATTGACAAGCTAAGATGAAATTAAGACAGTGCATCTCTGCCAAAATTCACAAGCCGTCTATGGATATGTATTCCCAGATTTTATATACTCTTGAATAAAAAGGTTTATTTTTATTTTTAACAGAGGCATAAAATAAGAAATGTCCATGCAGCCATTTTTCTAACAGATGCTGTACACCATTCATTTTAT